AAAAAAAAAAAAAAAAAAAAAAAGAATCTTGAAAATTTACAAGCTGAATACAAGAGTTGAATGGTGAACTTAATAGGAAATTTCATTCTTTAAAACCAAACATAAAATAGGGAAATTTGTTATGTTCAAACACAAAGAATAGATTTAACATAAAAAGAGGTGGTAAAAATATGGTGAATATGGGCTGGGGATTTAGCTCAATGGTTTGGTGGCCTGCCTTGCAAACACAAGGACCCGAATTCAATCCCCAGTACCAAAAAAAAAAGTGAATATTTAATTTTTTAAGAGCTTATTTAGGTAAAAGACACATTGCCAAGAATGAAAGGATAAGTATGTTGGAAGGGAGAGTATTTGGGGTTGGTTAATGGCAGTGTGTCTTTTACTGTAATAATTTTTTTATTTAAACACTTTATCACACCTTGTATACTTACATTTATATAAATGTATATGCAGTCCAATAAATTTTAACTATGTCCAAATGATGTTATATAGTAGTATACCTTCCCTAATATATTTCTCTGCTCATAATAGCTAAATCTTGGAAGCAACCTATATGTCCATAAACAGATGAATGGATTAAAAGAGCTATATTTATGTACGGTGGAGGACTTCTCTCCCCTAAAGGATGTATTGGAGTCATGTGTAAGAAAGTAGGATGCAGGCTGGGGATTTACCTCAGTGGTTCTGCCGCCTGCCTCGCAAACGCAAGGACCCAAGTTCAATCCCCAGTTCAAAAAAAAGAAAGAAAGAAAGAAAAGAAAGTGGGATGCACCTTGAGACATAAGTGCCCCACAATCTTGTCTCTTATATGAGAAATCCAAAACAGGGAAATTTTCTGTAAAAGAGAAGAGAACCAAGACTGGGGAAGGATGAGTGTAATCAGTACATACTGTAAGCAGGAACTAATAAAAATTTAAAATGTTTTACATGTACTAAATTACCAAAGCAACAGGAAGATAATTACCACACCTTAATTTAGTTTAGAATGTAAGAATAAACACCTTCAAACCAATTGATGAATTAGGGAGGAATAATAATGGAAAAGAAGTTGAGATAATAGTAAAGAGATACGAGAGAATTCCAGAGTGGAACACAGAGTAAACGGAGAATTAGGGGAGGACAGAAATGACAAAGCTAAGAGGAATTGGACGTGGTGGTGCATGCCTGGGATCCCAGCTACTCAGGAGACAGAGGTAGGAAGATGTTTGAGGCCAGCCTGGGCAACCTGGCAAGATTCTGTCTCAAATACATAAATAATATCATTTGTCACCTGACAAGGCCTGGTGTCCGAATTTAATGAAAAGGTCAAAATAAAGATAATAGGGAGAAAAATTGCAAGAAGTACTAGAAAGGATCAAAGAACAAAAGTTGGTTTCAGAATTAAAGGGAGAAACCTCTGACACTGCTGATCAAGAAGAGAAAAAAGGCACAAACTACTTAGAATTTAAAAGGCATACAACATCTGTCTCATTTTTAAAATCTTGAGGACACTATGAATAATCTTTTCCTGTGCATTTCAAGGCAGGTAAAATTAGCAGTTTCTTCAAATAATTTTCTAGAAGCAACTCAGAACTCCTGGATAAATTTATCTATTCCATTTTCAATTCTCATTTTTCAGATGAGAACAATGATACTCAGAGGATGTGAGTGACTTTCTCAAAGCCAAAGGCCAGTAACTAAGTCCATATTTTTTAAGGCAGCAACAGTGAAGGTGTATAAAGATAATTTTAAGCATGACGTTGTTTTAAGTTTTGCTTTTGATACTAACCTCACATATGGCACTAGAACAGCCTGGACCTCTTGGAACCCTGTCCTCATCTGTAAATGAAAACAATACAGTTGTTGTGTTAAAAATATGGTTGTTATGAAGATTAGATATGAATGTATCTGAAGCTGTGAAAATATAATGCCCCATGCAGAAATACTCTATACAAATTTTTTTGTTTGTTTCTTAGATTTGTCAGTAACATACTTTCTGGGTTACAATGAGCATTTCCTAATAGATAAATGCATTAGAATTTTTATTTTTGTCTGTTCATCCACCACTGTTTATGTCTCTTAGCTCTCCGTATATAAAAAACCATTAAGAAATTTCTTCTGGAACTTCAGACCTCCTGACTAAAAATACTGCTAATGAGGGGTACTTTCTTAATGTGCTGATTCAGTATTGTTTCCTATAATACTGTGTGTTTGCTCTCTAATTAGAAACACTAAAATAGCTAGATAGGCTCCCTATTTGGCAGTTCATTGTTTTTATCTCATTGATTCAGCAGATATTTTTCTCAGAGCTGTGTTGTGATATAACATGCAGCCTGATGCCTTGTCCTTCACCACCCTCTACTCAGAATTCTAGTCCAGCTCAGCCCCTACCCATCATCTCACTATCCACAAGTACTTCGTGCCTCTAATCCCTTCCTTTCTTCTGTACTTGGGCTCTCCTCTTATGATCTTTGTCTTTTGCCCACATCAGATACAATTTTTTCCCCACAGTGTTTGGGCTCAAAAGACTATGCTTTTTATGTCCCCCGGTCTTCTCAGCAGCACACTGCAAGAGACATGTTGCATCTGCAAGTTACGAGAGCCGTGAGTACTCAGTGTGTCACATGGCAGCCTGATAATAGCCTGGCCCGCGGAGTCCCATGAGATGAGGCTGTCTCAGCACAGACACCTGTAAGCCTTAAGAGTGGTGCTCACCTGACAAGAACAGCTTAGCCTCCCTTGTGAGAAGAACACCTGGTAAATGACCCAG